TAGTTCTTTATAGCAATGGGAGAGCAGACTAATACAGATGTGCTGTGGAACATGCAGTCTCCAAATCTCAATGGCATAAAACAAAATGAGTTTATTTTTGACTTATGCTACATGTCCACTGAGGGTTAACAGAGAGCTTCTGCTAACTGTAGCCTTTTAGGGACCCAGGCTGACAAAGCAACCACCATCTTGAATATTGTTGGTCAGTATACCAGAGGGAAAGTGTTCAGAAGGGTCTGGCACAAACACTTCTACTTACAGCTTATTGGTTGGATCTAGTCATTTGGCTCCACGTAACCACAAATTGATCAGGAAGTGTAATCCTATGCTGTGTCTAGAAGGTGGAGGGATGGACATGTTTGATGATCAGCATCAATAACTACCACAGTTTTTTACCCTCTTTTCTGTATTTTCCATCCTTTTGAGTTTATTCTGCATATTTTCTTATGACATATTTTCCAGTTTACTAATTCTCTCTTCAGGTAGTTATTAAACTCATGCACTTTGTTCTTAATTTTGGTTTTCATGTCTAAAATTTTATTTGGTTCCAGTTCTCTGCTAAAATTCTTAATCTAGTCTCTCTTTTGAGCAGAGTAAATATAGTTATTTGAAAATCTGTAGATAACTTTAATATCCTGATCCCTCAAGGAACTATTTTTATAATCTGTAGTTTCTGTAGATTTTTGTTTATATTGTCTTGTATTTTCCTGTTCCTTTTTTATTTTTTTGGGTAGAGTCTCCCTCTGTCACCCAGGCTGGAGTGCAGTGGCATGATGTCAGCTCACTGCAACCTCTGCCTCCCAGGTTCAAGTGATTCTTGTGCCTCAGCCTCTGGACTAGCTGGTACTACCAGCGTGCTGCACCACTGTAGGGCTGAGGGCCCCACAGGGTTGTGGGGTGTGCCGTATGCTGTGCTGAGGCGCAGGGTCCAAGAAATAAAGAGACAGGACACAGAAGTACAAGGAAAACGCAGCTGGGCTTGGGGGGCCACGCCACCTATAAGCGTAGTCAGGTGAGGCCCCGAATGTCCAGAAGCGTATTTATTGTGTATAGGTTAGGGGGCAGGTGGTGAGCAATAAAACATGGGGTCACCTAGGCCAGGAGGTGGACAGTGCGCAGCAAGGGGCCTGTTCCCACGAAGGCAAGGGCCGTGTGCAGTAAGGGGTCCACCCCCATTAGGTCACCGAGGCTTGAAGGTGGGCTGTGTGCAGTGAAGAGGGTGCAGTGTGCAATACTTATATCTATGGGAAACTACTTTTTTTTTTTTTTTTTGAGACGGAGTTTCGCTCTTGTTACCCAGGCTGGAGCGCAATGGCACAATCTTGGCTCACCGCAACCTCCGCCTCCTGGGTTCAGGCAATTCTCCTGCCTCAGCCGGGACTACAGGCACGCGCCACCATGCCCAGCTAATTTTTTGTATTTTTAGTAGAGACGGGGTTTCACCATGTTGACCAGGATGGTCTCGATCTCTTGACCTCGTGATCCACCCGCCTCAGCCTCCCAAAGTGCTGGGATTACAGGCGTGAGCCACCACGCCCGGCTGGGAAACTACTTCTAAGAAGATTTATAGGAGGATGCCTTAAGTCACACAGCAGTGACAGAGCTGTCAGGGTTACCGCCACCTTCTGGCGGCTTCCAATGGGTTCTATGGGAAGATGCTTTTCGAGCAGCACAGTAGCAAGAGCTGATAAAGTTCACAGTCACCAAGGTGGATTGCCGGTCTGAGGGCAGCCTTCCTCAAGAACTGGAGCAAGGTCCTACAACTCCTTCATCAGGAGGAGTGGCTCTCGCCCCAAGCCTGCCATACAGCGGGTATCTTTACGATACTGAACGCTGCCGCCTGGGCCGTGGGTTCTTGTCCTGGTGTAACTGTTTTCCCTTAAATCATGCTCTGCACTGTGTCTGCTCCAGGCATTCCTCTGATGATAAGCTGCTTATTCCTTAATTCATGCTCTGTACTGTGTCCACTCTAGGCATTCCTCCGATTATGAACTAAGGTATAATTATAGGTATATATGTAGGGAAATATTCTTCAGGCACTCATACTATCAACGATTAATGATTATATAGAGAGGATTATATAAAGGGATTCTTCAAGCCCTAATTCTATAAACTAATATATGATTATGTAAAGGATTATATAAAAGGAAATAGCTGAGTAGTAACACTATAAAGTGAGATATTCCTCAAGCCCTAACTGTGCCAGGGCTCTGCTTAGCTCTCATTCCTCGGTGCCTATATGGGGGGTTACCCACGCACCACATCGGCTCATTTTTGTATTTTTAGTAGAGACGGGGTTTCGCCATGTTGGCCAGGCTGGTCTTGAACTCCTGGGCTCAAGCAGTCTGCATGCCTCAGCCTCCGAAAGTGCTGAGATTACAGCTGAGATTACAGGCATGAGCCACCTTGCCTGGCCTTGTCATATATTTTATTGGTAGGAATAATTTGAAGCCTACGAAGGTATTTTTCACTCTTTTTTCACTGAGGATTTAGCTTTTGCCATGTATTGGGGGTACCAACAGTCTGGAGTCATTTTGCCGATTTCAGGGATTGAGATGATTTTAAGCGACGCTGAAGTCACCCTTGCTCTGATGTTACTGTCCTTAGGACCCCAGAGTGACGATTACATTTGCATATTCATAAATTCCTTCACTCACCCACCCACGTTCATATTTGTAAATTTATATTTACAAATGTAGGCAGCCATTGACAAATGAATGTGCAGAGAAATGTGCACAAATGAATATGTCTATGTGATCGTCTCTCCTGTGTACCCATTTATCTGCCAAAACAATTAGGTGTACGCGGACCTAGGAACTGCTGAACTCATCCGCTCATTATTAACTCAGCCATGGGACCAGCCGACAGAAGGCCTGTGCTGGGTGCTGTTCCAGGTGCTTGGGGCACATCCTTGAGCAAAACAAAGTCCCTTCTGTCACAATTCATAGTGCAGTGGACATACCAGGCTACCAGGGCGGGCAGGGCTGGGATGGAATTTTAAGAAAGGTGGCCAAAGTGGGCTTTGCTGAGGTGATGTCCAAGGGAAAACTCGGCGGTGAGGGAATGACAGCTGTGAACGTCTGAGGGGCTTCCAGACAGGAGGACTAGCCAGTGTAAGACCCCCAGGGGGACAGGAAGGAGCCCCTGTGGCTGCAGGGGAATGAGGCTCAGAAGCTGGAGGATTTGGGGGCTGACGGAGGAAAAGACAGGGCCAGGAGAGGGCAGTGGCACGCAGTGAGCTGTACTCTGGCGGTTCTTAGGTTTTCACGGAGGCTTGGCACCTAGGCGAAGCCGCTCGGCAGGGGGCAGCCCCGCCTGAAGGCTTCTGTAGCCCCAGGGTTTGTCTCACCCGCAGATGTTGGGTTCAGTTTTGCAGCATATGCAAAGCAAGCAGTGTCTAAACGTCTAGAAATATGCATATTTGCGCTCTGTTTAAAGCAAATGTCTGTGTAACATTTTGATTTTGGCCCTGGTGGGCTTTGAAATTCTGGTCCTAGCTGCTGTGAAGCAGTCAGCACAGGGCTGGTCCTCAGGCTGTCATTGGCCTGTGGACCCATCAGGTGGCTGCGGAGGTGAGTTTACCGGCGCCTGTGTGCCCCTGGCCTCCCGCGGACCTGCAGGCCACTACCCAGCCCCTTCTGTCCATCTCTGCCCCTGCATCTGTAGGTGAGCGCTTGGGTTGGCACCTGTCAGCCAGGATGGCGGTCACCTGAGGCCACGCTGCGCGCTGTGCCACTGCTTCTCTCCCTCTGGTCTCCTCTGCCCCGTGCCTCCCCACATCTGCGAGTTCTTCCCATTCTGCTGTTCCATCTCCCTGTCTGCATGTGTCTGTGGCCAGTCTCCCTGGAAGAGCTGCGGGGAACTCATCTTTCCATCTCTTTCCCCTCAGCCTGTCTTCCTCCCTCCGCCTCACGAACGCCTCGCTCTGTGGGAACGCCGCTGCTCACCCCGATGCGGTGCCGCTGCCTGCTCCGTGGCCCGTGTCTGTCACCTCTGTCTGGCCCCGCCGCCAAGCCTGCCCACACCTTCCTGGTCTGTTCTTGGCTGTGGCGCCCACCTTCAGCCACCTGCTCTCCTTCTCCCAGGCCTCTGCTCTCCAGCCGACAGCTCCTTGGGCCCCAACTGTTTCCCAGGCCTAATTCTGAGTACAAGAGTCTCCCTGTACCACCTGGCCCTTCTCAGCCACTGCCTGGCCCCCTTCCACCACCATCCAGTTATTAGGGAATCAGCCACACTGGACAGCAGGCCCTGGTCAGCCCTGCCTTCCCAGAGCAGGCGTGGGGCAAACAGTGCTCACACACAGCCACCTATGAACAAACAGCTTCCTGGGCAAGGGTGAGGCTGGGACTGGTCCACCACCAGGCGCATGTGGGTCTGCTCTGAGCTCCTGCTCTTACTATTCACTGCAACTCCTCTGAGCCTCACCCCGGCTCCGCAGACAAGGAGGGCCGGGCACAGGAAGTCAGGGCCTCGCCCCGGGCGGCTGGGCTTGGAGCCCAGCTCTCTGCACCCACTTCTTGCTCCTGGAGTGCTGGGGACTCCATAGGGTGAGAGGCAGCAGCAGCCCCAGGGGCTGTGTCATGCAGGCAGAGATCTGCAGGGGACCACAGAGGGAGCCGCGCTGCGCACGTCCTGCGGGCCAGCCGCCTGCCCGGGAAGCAGCAGTGGCAGCCAAGGCCGCAGGCGTGTGCTTGAGTCCAGTAGAGGCAGGAAGCCTGGGCCGGGTCCTTGGGGGCCGTGAGGGGGAAGGCAGCCCTTGGAGGCCCAGCCGCAGGAGCAGGTTCCTGCTTGGACTTGGTCAGGGAGCCCAGGAGAATTCCCGGTGGCCTGGGCTTTGGGGATAGCTGCACGCAAAGGGCCTACCACGCACCAGCTGTGAGCACGGAGGCCTTTCTGCACAATGGCGCCCTTTCTCCCAAACGGAAGAGCAACAGCTCCTCTCCAGGCTGAGACTTGGAACACAGGCACCCTGAGTGCCCGACAAATGTCATCTGTCATAGGTGGCCTCGCTGGATGCGGTGGTGAGCGTGCTGCATTCGTGGGACCTGAGCCTCACAGAGGCCATGCTGCAGAACATGGAGGCAGAGCAGCAGCACCGGGCCCAGGAGGCCCAGCGGCACAAGGAGGCTGAGGCTGAGTGGTGTGGCGGGCAGGAGGGGTGTGGGAGGTGCTGGCGGAGAGCACTGGCGGGGAGCATAGATGGGGGATGCTGGCGGGAACCTCTGCCCCAGCTCGTTCCCGTTCCCTAGCATGACCCTCAAGGTCCAACAGCTGGCCAGGGAGCAGCAACAGTGCCACAAGGAGGTGAGTGTGACCTCAGGGAGGAGCCAGGTGGGTGGGGAGGTGGGGGAGCCGGGTGGACGGGCACCCAGGGGAAGAGCTAGGAGAGGAAGTGACCTGGTCAGAAGGCACTGGCCGGCCTCACCAGGGCCAGCCTTGCCAGGGCCTGCCCATATGCCCACCCAGCTGCAGCAGGCCTACTGCGAGCTGAGCCGGAGGATCTCGGAGCACGACCAGTGTGAGTGGAGGCGCATGGACAAGACGGAGCTGACACTGCAGGTGGGGGCCGCAGCGGACTTGCTGTGCCTCAACAGCCCTCCTTGTTCCACACCAGCCCAGGGCTCCTCCCTCCCAGGCCCAGGATTTTTCCCTCTCAAACATGAGGAGTCACCAGCCAACGACAGCCTCCTTGGGGTGGGGTGGGGAGGAGGCCAGGCAGGAGCCTTCCCCAGCCAGAGTGTGGGATAGGACAAGTGAGGGTCAGCATGGCCCCCTCCTCCAGGCCATCAAGGATGCAGAGGACCAGGTGGACAGGCTGCAGCAGGAGGCCCGGAAGGCTGAGGAGGCGCTGGCTCTGGCCAGGCTGGCGCTGCGGGAACAGACGCAGGACGGTGGGCCTGGCATGGGGCGCCGGCTGGGGCCTGGGAGGCACAGCACAGGGTGGGGTCCGGCGTTGGGCTTGCCTGTCAGCTGCACTCTGCCACCCCGCCAGGGGAAGAAGAGGCGCAGGGGCTGAAGTGCCAGGTCACGGAGCTGCATGACGTGCTGATGAAGGACGTGGGCAACCGCATCCAAGCGGACGGCCGGTCAGTGCTCCAGGCTGGACGTGGGCGAGCTGGGGTTGGACAGACAGCACTGACCTCGTGCTGTCCCCAGGTGGCCTCTCGTCATTGACCCTTCAGGCCAGGCGGCTACCTTCCTGCGCTACCAGGACACCAATTACGTGGACACAGTGAACCCAGAGCACCTGAGGCCGGAGAGGATGCGACTGGCTCTTCTGGGGGCTCTGCGGTGAGGCAGGCAGGGCGTCAGGTACACCCACCCCACCCCCAGCCCCACCCCGCCTCATCAGCCTTCTGGGGCAGGTACGGGAAGCCGCTGGTGTTTGACCTGCACGAGGTGGACCTGTTCCCAGCCGTGCAGCAGCAGCTGGAGGCGGTGCAGCCCGGCCTGGCCCAGGCGCTGCTGAGCCGTGGCCTGCTGGAGCAGGAGAGGTACCTGTCACTGCTGCGGCCCACGGACGGGCCTGAGTACAGCCCCACGCAGTTCCAGGAGACGCGCCTGGAGCACTTCCGCCTCTTTTTCGTCACCAAGGCCCAGTGGCCACCGGCTGAGCAGCTGCAGGTGCTGCTCCCGGTGCGAGTGCAGCTCCCGGGCACAGGCCTCTAGTGCTGGCTCCAACCCCAATAAAGTGTGTGCCCCGGGGCGTGGTGCCCTCTGTGCTGTGTGTGTGAGGGGCGGGGGCGGCGTGTGCAGTCCTGAGCCCCGAATGACCAACCCCGACTGCGGACACAGGTTTGCAGGCACCTGGGGGAGGCCCTGCTGGGGACGGGCAGCTGTGCAGCCTGTGTGCGGTGAGGGCGGGTGATGGTGCAGCACTTGGAGCTCGGCCTGGCCTCGGAGGGCAGGAGGCGTCTGTGCCAGCGGGTGGGGGGTTGACAGACAGATGGGAGGTAAAATGTAGTCAACTTTATTCTCCTTAAACCACAAAATAGAGTCTTTGGTTGTACAAACATCACTAGTTACAGTCTCGCCGAGGTCTCGGCTGGGGTGGGGCAGTTAGTCAGAGGCCGGAACTCCTGTGGGGTCTCTTTAAAATGCTAAAACCCAGGTTAAAAGACTCAGGGCAAGGGTGGTGTGCTGGAGCTGGCAGGGCCCCCACCCCAAGTCTGGGGGAGGCACCCGCTCCTCTAGGAGGGCACAGGGCCCAGGCCACGGCGCCCAGGCCTTACGGGGCGGCGGCTGCTGCACAGCGCCACATCTTCGGGGCCCACAGCGCCGGGTGAGGGCCGGCCCAGAAGCACCAGGGCCACTTCTCCATCTTCCTCCTGTGGGCCTGGGGGGGCAGGGACAGGGGGGCAGTGAGCTGAGGGCAGCTGGGCTCCAGGGAGCTCACCCCGCACCCAGCCCCAACTCACCAGGGCTGGGAGATGGTTCCAGGGATCTCAACTCCTCAGCAAAGTCCGGCGACTGTGATGGGGAGAGTGTTGGTCAGGCTGGCGCCAGTCCTGCCCCAAACCACCCGCGTGGACAGGTGGGCTCCCAGCCCTGAGGCCCACACAGCCCAGCTGAAGGAGGGAGGGGATGGAGAGGCGGGGTGAGGGCAGAGCGTGGGCAGAGCGCGGGGAGGCCCTGCGGGAGCGGACAGAGGCGGTGGCAGGCGCAGGCAGGGTGGCAGGCATGCAGAGGCCTGGCGGCCGGGTACCTGGATGTCATAGACCGGCCTGGAAGAAGGCAGGGCTGCAAAGGCCCTGTAGTCAAACTTCTTTCCAGACAAGGGCTTGAAAGGACAGCGTGAGGGGAGAGGCAGAGAGTGAGAGGAAAGGGGTGAGGGCCACAGGGGTGGGGGCAGGCCAGACCCCCCCAAGTCTCGGGGGTGAAGGGCGGGCACAGCCACCGGCTCCTCACCAGGCGTCCCGGGGAGGTGCTGGTCTGGGGGCCGAGGTCTGGGGGGACAAGAAGCAGGTGTTGGAAGCGGCCCATGCGGCAGGCTGACCCCCCAACCTCCCAGACCCACGGACCTTCCACAGGGGTGGGTGATGGGGTGGGCGCGGGGGAAGGGGCCTCGGCCAGACGCTCCAGGGGCCCCCGAGTGCCCCGGCCCTCCTGGGACCTGCTGAGGACCATCTGTGCGCGGAGAGCGTCCTGCTCTAGCGACTTCATCCTGCGGAGACCAGCAAGGCTGGGTGAGCCAGGCAGGAGCCGGGGCAGGCGTCGGGGCAGGGTGGGGACCCCCAACCAGGGGCCTACCTGGCCGCCCTCCACAGCGCACGCTTCTCGGCCTCCAGGGCCCGGCGCTCAGCAGGGGACAGGGCGCGCTCAGGTGCCGGCAGCTCCGGACTCTGCACTCGAAGCCGTTCCTGGTGGCGCCGCTCAGCTTTGGCCGTCCGCACCGGGGCGCCACCTCCCGGGGGTGGGGGGGACACTGGGCTCTGCCTAGGGAAGGGACAGGATGTGCTGTGGGGAGGGTGTGTGGGGCGAGAGCGGAGTGTCTGGTGCGTGGGCGCTCACCCTGCAGTGGGGCTTGGGCCGGCCCACGGTGGCTCCTGATCCTCCTGCTCCTCCTCGCCCAGGGCCTCTCCATCCAGGGCCAGCCTCGCTCCGGCCCCGGCCTCCGCCACCTCGCGCATCTGTGCTCGCTTCTGCTGCAGTTTCCGGGCTGCCAGAGAGCCAGGCGGGTCAAGCTGGGCCAGCCTCCACCCAGTCCCCACCCTACTCTGTGCCCCTCACCTTCTTCCTCCTGCATCTTCCGAAGGTCATCAGCACCCACCAGGGACACGCGCTTAGGGGGGCCCTCAGCCTGGGGCACGCGCACCTCCAGCTCAAAGTACTTCTGCCGTTCCCGGAAGGACAGCTGCTCCGGGGAGGCCGCAGGCGTCGGGGGCTGGGGGGAGCGGGCCCTGAGGTTTGGCTGGCATTCCTCTGGGGCACTGGGGCCCCGGGGCACCCACCACACCCACACGAAGTAGGGAGGGGTGCTGCCCCTACACACCTGGGCAGGGGCGTCCTCAGGAGGGTGTGGAGTGGGCACAGCTGCGAAGGCTCTGTAGGCCTGCTTCACGTTGGCAGGCAGCTCATCCGGGGAGGGAGGGGAGGGTGGCTGGGGGGGTGGGGCTCTCGTGAGCTACGCTGGGCAGCTGTCGGGGCTGCAGCTGCACCCAACCCAACACCCGCTGTCCCCACTGCCTGCCTTTGATCCCACCCACCATCCTGCCAGGGAAGGAGGCTCTGCACCCCACCCATGGGACAGAGCACTCACGGAGCGGGGACCACCTCTGCCCCTGGGGGCTGGGGAGCCCCAGGCCTGAGCCAATGGCTGGATCACCCCTGGTTTTGTCTGGAAAAGGCAGGTGGGGGCAGCAGGGGCAGAAGAGAGCAGGATCAAGGATTCAAGGCAAAGGATGGGGTGGGGAAACGGGGAGAGAGAGAGAGAGAGAGACGCCTGGGTGGCGCTGACATCTTGCCAGTGAGGTGCTGAGCTGTGGCTGGGTCTCACAGGTGCTGCCACCCCAACCCCCACGTGGTAGTGTGTTGGGGGTGGTGCCAATAGTGGGGGGCAAGGACCCCCTGACAAGAGGCAGGCAGGGGCGAGGCCGGCAGACCTGGGAGGCACTGGGCCCAAGACAACGACCGGGGTCTCCGGAGCTTGAGCTCCTCCAGGAACAGCAAGCCCGGGCCCCCAGCCCATCGCCAGGCAGCTCCTCCAGGAAAGTGTTCCTGGCTGCCCTCGCGCAGCAGGCCCCGTAGTAGCAGAGGGAAGCCCGGAACCAACCGCACGCCACCCCCTCTCCCTGGAGGAGGGGGCCCTGCACATTGGCCATCTGCCCTGCCCTCCACCTGCCGCGGGGCGCGCCTGTTAACTCGGGACACTCACCTGCTGGCCACTAGGGGAGCGGGGGCCTTCGGCCATCTTCCCTCCAGCTGCTCCAGACGGTACCTGGAGGATCAGGCAGTGGGTGGGGTGAGGCCTGGCAGGGCTGTGGCCCCTGAGCAGGAGGGACTGGGGGCCCTGGCGCTTGCCTGGAGGGCACAGAAGCTCTTCAGCTCCCCAAACTGACTATAGCCCAGGGCCACCCAGGTACTCGGTCAGCATGAAGAGGCTGTCCCCGACCCCCACGGTGCAGGGGCCTGGGATGGGCAGCTGGTGTCTCCGTGGCTGTGTGCTGGCTGGAGCTTTGCAGGAGAGATGGGAGCAGACAGCACAGTTGCAGAAGAGGGAAGGGAGGGCTCAGGGAAGGGGCCGGCGGGGAGCCCCCACTTGCGGTGTGCAGCCCTCAGGGCTCGAGGGGGGCCCTGACCGCTGCCCCCACAGCTGTGCTCTTGTTCATGAGGATGAAGGATCTCCTGGGAGCTTCCCTCTCAGCACTGCCCATGGCCGAGTCGGTACCCAAGAGCCCCTACATGCGCTGCCTCAGCCCCTCACCACCACTCTACCACCCCTGCAGAGGCCTGGCAGAGCCTGCCCCCCCAGTCACTCACGTTCCTTCTGGGCCTTCCAGCAGAGGCTGGCGGGACACACCCTCTGGGAGGGTTATTTGTGTCTCTCAGGAGGGACGGGCCTGCACATCCTCCCGCCCGTCCCCAGCGACTGCCCCTCCAGCTGCTCCAGCCCATCCTCCCCTCAGCGACGTGTGCCTGCCCAATCCCCCAGGAGCCTCCGCCTCCAGCCTGCACCCTCAGGCTGGGCAGCCCCCCAACAGCAGGCGAAGCTCACACACCACCACACTGGCCTGCTCGGTGAGTACAAGAGCCTCGAACTGTGTCACCCATCCAAAGCTCAGGGTGGGGGTGGGGCAGCATGGCTGGGGTCAAGAACGAGGGTTGACAAGCACGTGGCAGGCTGGGGGCCACGCTCCGGCGGGGGTAGCCTGCAGGTCAGATGCGGCCTCCTCCCACCCTGGCCCCCCCGCCGCCCAAGGTTCCCTCCATGGAGGCCCTGGCGTTCATCTTGGGGTAGCTGATGAGCAGAACAGGACAAAGGTGGGGGCACCGCACTCTAGGCACTGACCCTCTGCACGCTGCCAGCACTGGGCACGGCGGCCAGGGCACGGTAGTCCAGCTTCAGGGGCTCCAGACCCCGACCCTGGGAGCAGAGTGGACACAGCACTAGCAAGGGCAGCTCCGTGGCCGCCCCCAGCCATCGGGGGAAGGGGGACAGCACAGGCACAGGAGGGGGTCCCGGGGGTCACTATCTAACGCCCCATGGGCGATATGGACCCCGATCCAGTGCCCTGATGGGAGGGGCGGGGTGACCCCACTCACTGCGGCTTCTGTGGCCTCGGACCAGTGCAGGGTCTGTCCAGGCAGCTCCTTCTCCTGTGAGCAAAGTGGACCCATCAGGTGCTGCCGGCCTCAGGCTCCCGGGCCCTGGGGCTGCCGGCTGTAGGCGCCTCTGACCTTGCCTGGGCCCTCAGGACTCAGCTCCGGGTCGATGGAAGAGATGCTCTCCAGGCTGTTCCGGTGGCCGATGCCTGCCGCAAAGGGGTTGGCAATGACACCTGGGGACACCTGGGAAAAGGGGTGTGGGCTGAGGGGAGACTGCGGCCCCAGCCCAGAACAGCCAGCAAAGGTGAAGAAAGGAGCCGTGTGGGGCCGACTGCATGGCGGGGGCGGCCTCAGAGGGCACTCTGCTGGGCCCTCCAGTGCCCGGCAGGCCTGTCCCCGGCCCGGCCCATCCCCTCACAGCTCACAGGCCTGCTGTGGACATGGTCATGTCTGCGCTAAGTGAGACAAAGTGGCGTGATGCCTGCCACTTTGTCTGGGCAGGGCAAGGCAGGTGACCGTGTAAAGTCACCCTCAGGAAGAACTGACAGCCTCCAAAACGGGGCAAGGAGGGGTGAGCAGCGGGCGCTGCACCTGCTGGCACAGAGCGGCCCCTCGGGGGGACAGGCTGGCTCCGGACCCTGGCGTGAGTGCTGAGCAGGGGTTCTGAAACAAAGGACATCACGTAGGAGGTCCGGCCAGCTCTGCACTTCCCAGACCTAAATCATCTGTCCCACACCAGTGGCTGGCACGGCAGAGGGGGCCGGGGAGACAGGGCCAGGACAGGCAGGGGCTTCTGGCTGGGCACAAGCTGTACTTGGATCCTGAGCCCAGGGTAAATAAACACAGGCAGACAGAACCATGGGAAGAGCTCACTTCCAAGCCCCCGGGGGTCAGTGGGACTGGCTCTAGCCTCCACCACCAGCGGCCAGAGGCGGCACAGTGGAGAGAGGCATCACTCCTGGCCCTCTTCACAGACGGGGTCCCTGTGAAATCACAGTGCTCTCAGTGTGGCCTGAAGGACAAACACAGCCCCGTGCTGTTGCTTAAAAACATAACTAAAATGGGAAGTAAGGGGTGGGCAGAGAAGCCAGGCAAACACACAGGAGGCACAGAGAGCGGCCGCTCAGACCAGGGGGGACGGGACGTGGGGCAGGCAGAGGGACGCTGTCACCACAGAGAACAACGGTACAATCATCATCAACTCTAAGCGCTCGACAAGCAAGCAGCTAAACACAGAAAACAAAGATCACTGGAAACACCAGAGCATCATGAAAGCAGTCCGACAGCCAGCCTCACCTACACCTGTTTTAGATTCTCACAGACCCAGGAGGACAAACAAGGTGCCTCTCTTCTCAATTTCCAAAGTAAGTCAGAGCCCCTGGGCAGGTCCAAGAGAGACAGGGGCCTGGCAGAGTGGGAAGCAAGGTCGCAGGCAGCCCAGCCTCTCACGACAGAGAGCTGCTCAGACACAGAAAAGGCCACTGAGCTCATGCTCTACCGTTCCAGGAATAACCGTGGAAAAGACTAGCATGGTCCCTAGCTCTGGCCTTGGGGAGGTCCTGAGATGCTCCCCTGAGAGCACTATCCACGTCTAGTGCCGAGACCAGTTTCCACGGATCACCCTCCACTAAAAGGAACCACCGCGCCTGAGAGAAATGGCTGACTCCAGGGCCAGGCAGGGCAAGGAGAGGAGCCCAGCACTTCCTGGATGCGGAAGGTGAGGTGCTCAGAGAGGGGAGGTTGTGTCAGAATAAGTCAGGCCCTCAAGCACCTTCATGGGCCAAGGCTGGGACAATTTGGGCATTAAATTTGTGACGGTGCCGGGTGTGGCGGCTCACGCCTGTAACCCAGCACTGTGGGAGGCCGAGGCGGGCAGATCAAGAAGACGAGTTCAAGACCAGCCTGGCCAACATGGTAAAACCCTGTCTCTACTAAAAATATAAAAATTAGCCAGGCATGGTGGCAGGCGCCTGTAATTCCAGCTACTTGGGAGGCTGAGGCAGGAGAACTGCTTGAACCTGGGAGGTGGAGGTTGCAGTGAGCAGAAGCTGCACCACTGCACTCCAGCCTGGTGACAGAGCGAGACTCTGTCTCAAAAAAAAAAAAAAAAAAAAGAAAAAGAAAAATTAATTAAAAAAAAAAACGATGGTAACAAGCTGTCAGCCATGAAATAAAATGGAAATTCCCTTGTTAATGAAACGGACTCCTTGTGAGCCCACATGAACAGGCAAGCAGGTGACATAACTGGGAGAAGGGAAGGTTCTAGGGCAGGAAGCCACCCGAGGAGCATGGGGTGGTGGGTAGGGCACTGTCGCCAACCACCTCAGGCCCGCTCGGGGACCGTCGAGGTGCTGAGGCACCCGGGTGAAGCTGGGTGAGAAGCAGCATGTCCTGTGCTCTCAAAGCACCTCTTACAACCACTTGATTTCCAGGGGCAGGAGGAACTGCAGAGGAAACCTGGCTGACCCCACGGTTCAGAGCATCAGCTGCGGACCCAGTGAGCGGCGTGGAGACGCGTGGCTTCTCGGCCGCCAAGATGCACATGCTGAAGCCTGTGAGGACATCACACCCAGCGTGGGGACAGTCACAGCAGGGAGGGCCTGTGCCCACCAGAAGCATCAAGGTCTGAGGAATCAGCGAAGACAGAGGCAGGCTCCGATGGAAGGAGACTAGAGGGGTGCCGCGGCCAAACCCCACAGGGACCGGACCGTGCCCTTCCTCGACGGAGCACGTCCCTGGCACGGTGGCTGGGCCAGGAACAGGGCTGCGTGTCACACGTTCTTTGTCCTGTGTTTTCAACTTTTCTCCAAGTATAAAATTCACTTATGTATGTGCTTATATTTTTCAAAAAGAAACAAATGGTAGAATAAACCGAAATTAATAAAGCTGGTAGCCTCAGAGCAGAGAGATGGATGCCGGACTTCTGAAGTCAATCTATGATTTCGACTTTGGAACCACGTGATGATTTACACAATTAAGAAACAGATTTTCTGGTGGCAGATGGCTGTAATCCCAGCTACTTGGGAGGCTCAGGCAGAAGAATCGCTTGAACCCGGGAGGAGGAGGTTGCAGTGAGCTAACACCATGCCACTCCAACCTGGGCAACAGAGTGAGACTGTCTCAAGAAAAAAAAAAGACACGGATTTCTAAAAAGCTCACCCTAAAAGCTAAAACGAGTCAGCTCAACTGTGTATCAAGTTGGCAGCAAAACCACAGAAGGCTCTCAAGTGGCTGAGAGCACAGGAGGCTGCCAACTGCTCATCCCAGTGGGTGAGCCCTCAGGAAGATGGCCTCCCAGAACTCAGCACCCCACGCTCCTGCTCTCAGTCGTACCACTGGGGTCGCTGTTTTTTGTTTAGGGTCTTACTGTCTTGCCCAGGCTGGACTCAAACACCTGGGTTCAAGCGACCCTCCTGTTTCAGCCGCCTCAGTAGCTGGGACTACAGGTGCGTGCCACCATACTCAGCTAATTTTGAAATTAAGAAATTGAAGATTTTATGAGAAAAAGAGAAATCTAACATCACAAAAGTTAGTAAAAAACCCTATAATCTTAAATGAGCTAAATATAACAGTACAAACTCATGATTTTTCTCTTTCATGGATATAAAAATCTCCACCTCTCAGCCTCCATCTGCTGCAGAGGCCATGGAGCGGCAGAGGCTGAGCCAGAGTCCTGAGCCCGCCTGGCCCACGGCTAGGAGCTCTACACTCAGCTCCCACCGAGAGGGGCCGGGTTCCACACAACCGTGGTGGAATCCAGGGCTGGGGCAGGAAGTACAAAGAATGCCCTGTCAAAGCAGCTGGGGAATATTCCCTGCCTGATCAGGGGACATCAAGGGAACACTGTGCTGAAACCCATCAGGAAAACAAAGATTCATGAGTTCATGAAAACCCTAAAAACAGAAAGACACGTCAGGAACCACCTTTGGAAGCTTCTAGGGCCCCAGCTTCAGATAACAATTCTTACAGGTTATAAACAGAAACAGCCCCCCACCCCTTTAAAAAATGTCATCATGAGAGCCTATAGCAAACATCCCAGTAGATGAATGTCTCCTAAACCTGAGCACGAGGCAAGCCCCACCCCTAAGGGGCCAGAAGCTCTGAAGGAGGGGAGATGGGAGAGGCCTGGGTGGGAAGGGCGACAGAATTACTAGGACAGCAAGAGCAACCAGAGAATGCGCTAGAGAAAAACTCGCCGTAAAGATAACCCCAAGGCCGGGCACGCGGCTCACGCCTGGAAACCCAGCACTTTGGGAGGTCAAGGCAGACAGATCACTTGAGCCTGGGAGTTCAAGACCAGCCTGGGCAACACAGCAAAACCCCTTCTCTACAGAAAACTTTAAAAAAATCTTTGAGCCAGGGGTGGTGGTGTGTGGCTGCAGTCTCAGCTACCGGGAGGCTGAGAGGGTGGGAGGATGGCTCGAGCCCAGCAGGCTGAGCCTGCAGTGAGCAGCAATCATGCCACGACTCCAGCCTGGGTGACAGAGCGAGACCCTTCCTCAAAATACATACACATACGCAGATAACACATACGAGTCTGTGAAAACCCAGAATTCCAGTCGGTTTCTGTGCGGAACTTGGCAGGTTCACTTGTAAACACGTGACAGACAAATTTCTCAAGACAAGAAGGAAGAGTGGGTAGCTTTGACCATTAGGGTTAGGTATGAAACCTGCTGTAAAGTGAGGCATTTAAACGTGTGGGGCTGGCTCAGAAGTAGCTGGCAATTCACTGGAACCAAGTCCAGAAACAGACCCTGGAGCACACAGGAACTGAACACACGACAAAACCACATGTCCCCCAAATCAGTGGGGAAGCAGCAGGGCTGGGCGTGGGGACACGCGCCTGTGGTCTCAGTGACTCTGGAGGATGGCTTGAGTGTGGGAGGTGGAGGCTGCAGTGAGCTGTTATCTGCCAACACACTCCAGCCTAGGCGACAAGGAGGCCTCATCACAAGTCCAGGTGAACCACGGAGCTATGATTTTTAAATTGCCAGAAATACTAGAAGAAAACAGGACAATGTTTATCTTGCAGTAGGGAAGATGTTCCAAAAGAAAAAACCAGAATCCCGAAGTCATAAAGAAATCAGAAGACTTAAACATTTTCATTTTTGTAACTCAAAAGATCCTATTTTTTCAAGGAAAAGATGAGCAAGAGCTGGAGGAAATCACACCTGTACCCACCGAACAAAGACGAGCAACAAGCCCTGCTGGACAGAAGCCAGGCAGACAGTGGAGGGCAAGGACAGGGCTGGGGCGGATGGCGAGCCCCCAGGAAGACGGCGGACTTGGGAGAGCGGCGGTGGTGGATCGCAGCTCTCAGCCCCGCTGCTCCGGGGCCCTGGCCTGCCAGACGCAGCAGAAACGGTCTCTGCCCTCAACACCAGGGAGGGTGTGGAGGTAGCTCTGCGGTGGGCTGCCAGCCAGAGTGTGATGTCTGAGACCTGCCCCGATCCCTTCCTGCGAGGCCATCCCTCCTGTACCCATGTGTCATGGCAGACTCACGGGGGACCCGACCAGATGCAAGGACAACCTGTGGCCAACAGCAGTGCTGCACGCAGACAGACGCACGCTGGCTGCACGCAGACGGACAGACGGACGCACGCGGGCCGCACGCACACAGGCAGATGGGCGCATGCCGGCCGCACGCAGACAGACAGACGGGCGCACGCCGGTCGCACACAGACAGACGGGCGTACGCCAGCCGCACACAGACAGGCAGACGGGCGCACGCCGGCTGCAGACACGGCACCAGCCCCACCTTCTACACATCTAGCCCTTCCTGGAGAAGACTTTCTAATAAAAAATAAGTATATGAGTAAATCTATCAAACATTATTTAAAATACATTTAAACATACACTTAAAATGAGTAAATAAAAGGCAAGGCTCTGAGAACCAGGTGGTCCAGGGCTTGAGCCCTCAGGGAAATCTTTCCCTAGAAAGCACCAGGACTCCCTCGAGGACAGCAGAGAAGGTGGGTGAGGCCGGCTCACCAGCCCCAAGCCCAACATCCAGCTGTGGACCAAAAAATACGAACGGGATGCAATTTCCACCGGGGGGGGGGGGGGGGGGGCGTCTACGGTGAAAAAAGATGAATGCAGACCAACTTCCCACAGTGTTGGGTGGCACTGGCCATGGGTCAGGACACATTCTACTGCTGCCAGCCTGGCAGAAAACCACCATCCCAGAGATCCCTCGCAAGAGAGAACCGACGCGAGGCCTCCCCATCCCAGAGGCTGTTACGGAGAGGAAGCCGTGCATGCCAAAGGGAGCATGACACAGCCACCTGGGCCCTGGGGACCTGTGTGACCAGCGGGGACATGCTCTAGGAGCAGGGGGCTGCTTCAGACGAAGACACATGCCCCTGCCCAGGCACCCCCCAGCTTCAGCCATGGGTGTCGGCCCTCCCATGACCCACCCTCTTGCGGCCCTGCACCCCACTCCAGGTGAGAACTCGGTCTGCACACGCTGGCCGTGCCCTTGGAGGCCATCTCGGCCTGCTGGGGGACCCGCAGGACGGTGTGAGGGAGGAGACGGAAGGGGGATGAGAGTGCCCTGCGCTAGTCCAGGGTCCAGGCCATGCTGGGAGGGAGACTCCTGGGGCCCCACCTTACACCCCAACTCCCGGTAAGGGCTTTTGCTCTGCAGTCCAGAAATAAAAGACCAGCCGTTGGGTAGAAGATCTTGGGGAAGGAGCTCTCTCCTGAGAGGTCATCAGAGGAGGTGCCCTGAAGTCAGGCATGGCCCAGGGACAGGCTGGGAGGAACAGGGTGCCACTGGGCACAGGAGCGGGGACTCTCAGAGTCCCGAGGAGTCTGCCTGGCTGGTGGGCCATGGCAGGGCTCCGAGCCATCCCGTCACAGCCTCGTGGGCTCTGCACGAGTCGCCGGTGGCTCAACAACATCTTTCAAAACCAGACCATGCAGTGTGCCCCAGACACACCCCCTATCTGTTCATGTGTCTTGTCCTACCTGGGCCAGGCCTCTGGACAGCTCGATGGCTACAGCTCAGCAGAAAGGGAAGGTGGGCGTCCCCCCCCCAGCTCCCCACCCCTCACAGCTGATGCAGAGCACCTCCCAGACCCAGAGGCACAGAGGACCCGTCGCCCGCCCTGACAGGCGTCTGTGGCTCAGGACATCTCAGAATGGGCCAGAGAGAAGCGTGGTTCCTGGGGTGGGGGCGCTAACCTCCAGGGCTGCAGTGGTGCTGGCATCGAAGCCGTCACACACCAGCACGGTGAGGGTGTCGCCCACGCTGCGTAGCAGCTGCACCGCCTCGCTGTGCGTCAGGCCCAGAAGACTCTGCTGGTTCACCTCCAACAGCCGCAAACCCACACGTAGCCGGCCATCACGCCCAGCTGCCCCCATGGGGCTCACCTGCGGAGAGACGTGGTATGGGAGGAACCTGGCGGGGGGTGGGGAGTAAGGCCTGGGGCGGGCTGCGGAGCGCTCACCTTGGAGATAAAGATGCCCTCGTCTGTGGGGTCACGGGGGTTGCCAGCGTGGCCCCTGGCACCCCCTCGGATGCTGATGCCCAGCCTCTCCCCGGGCGCCTTCTGGATGCATAGCTCCCGCAGGCCTGGGGGAGCTGGGTCCCTCCGCACCAGCAGGCACAGCTCCAGGCAGGGCCGGAGCAGGGCGCTGACGGCTTCTTGGTGTGTGGCCTCCCGCACGTCTTGCCCATTCACTGCCAGGATTCGGTCCCCAACCCGCAGGCCACTGCGAGCCGCTAGGCCCCGCGGGAGCACCTGTCAGGGAGGAGGGTGACATCTGGTGGACAAGGCCG